CATCCTCAAATACAGGAGTAAAGAAGACAAGTGTAAATCTAAATCTTTAGAAGTTGAAACCCGGTGGGGGGAAATGTATATTGAATTTCTAAACGTTTTATGCATCTAAATCCCCAATTGTCCAGTCGAGAATCTTTCCCAATAAATGACCAATTTATAACATCTGGAATACATATCGAAAGAATCTGAATAGGAGCTGTTCCAGATCCAAAGTTTTAATTTACTGTAATGCTTCCCCACAGTTAGTGTGCATGTAGCCATTTTAGATTGAATGCTAGATTCACGAAATAGAGCATTGATATCAAATGATAGCAACTTATATATTGACAATGGTTTGCAAGTGTAACATCAAAAAAAGGAAATATTTTTAAATCAGATTTATAAAGTAATTGTGATCCTTGTCATGGATGCTAAAATCATTGACATTAAGAAATTAACTTGAATTCAATAGTTATCTATCATCCCTTTATTGATACAATATTAGAAATAATGCCAAAAATCTGCACAACACGATAAGGAGTGAAACAGTTGGAACTCCAGTATGTTATTTGTGTGTTACTTTATATATTCTATATAGAAAATTGTAATTAGAAAACCTGATACTAACATAGTTTCTCCCGAACACAATGTTCCAGGTGTAACGACAGCATGTTATTGATCAATATCCAAAAAATGTCAGTTTATCTACACAAGCAGTTCATTCTGCTGTGCAGGTTTTACTTACAAACAAATGTATTTCGACTTCTGAGGTGCAGTTGAATTTATTCCTGCGTGCAATTAAAGGGCTCTTTTCATTAATTGAATTCAAACAGTGAATCTATTCTGAAAAATAGCATCTAGTCTAATGTTACACTGCATGAATTAGATTTGATTCAGCGTTCCAAGCCTTGATATGGAAAAATTGTGGATTTGAATGTTCATAATGCACAAATCTGGACATATGATCATGTTTCTTCACGAATCTTTTCTGAAAATCCCTACTCACTTCTCTCATTTACTGTTGTGTATACCCTGATGACTCACTTTCTGCAACAGATATTCTGAAGTGCTTTTCTTTTGCTTCAGCCAAGAGTTTAACCTATTTGTAATTAACAAGCTCTTTGACCGCATTCACCACATTTCCAGATTGTGGGACTTAGACAGCCCCTAGACCATCTTCCATTATTTTTCACTTCTACAAAATATAATCAGCAAACATGTTTCTCTCCCGTCTCCACTTCCCAGAGGAACTGTTTGCTCCCTGATATTCTTGTCTGTTTCTCTGCCATTTCAAATTATGGCTGTCCTCCTTTCCAGTTTCCCATGGAACCATAGCAGATGGATTCACCATTTTCTACCCCAATCACTCTTCACTCTGAATTGATAATTTAAATTGTCTTTGCCCAATTTAGCACACTGCATGTGTTGCTCATAGTGCAATCTCTTCTCTAGAAGATTCCAAATGGAGATCAGTTGCCTCTTTTGCTGAAAATTTCCATTATATCTGTGGTGTGATCATATGGATTATCACTCAAACTCTTAATGCCAAACTGACATTGATATCTTTATTTTTGATTTCTGTTTCCCTGCCTGTTTCTCACATCCAGATTTAACATTTTGAATAAAGTGCCTTAAGTGCATTTTTTCATTATTTCACATTCCAAGACATTCTTTACTTATTATTCAATTTTGTTTTATCCTTTCCCATCTACCTATATACCACTACAGAAACCATGAAGCTCATAAACTGTGTTTTTGCAATTATTGTGAGCACAGTGACACTTGATTTTACTCTGCCTCTGTCTCTTTGTTTTGTTCAATCATTTCAAAGCTTACACTTCCCTTTCAGTTTCTAGCTCAGACAGAGTCAATACCTGAAATGCTAACCTGCCATTACTGTTTTGCAGATGCTGACAGACCTGTTCAGTGTTTCATCCTTTTCTGTTTGCTGTAGTAGTGCAAATGTTGAACAGTCATACCAAACTCCATTCTATCTAAATGGGTTGCTTTGTTACATTGACTGTAAAGACATAATGTAAATACTGCAGTCCCTTTTTGTGGTCTTAGGAATGCTCATAAAGCAAAGCTTGATTAACAGCTACCTATTGTATAATGTGGCTATCTCCAGTCCATCCATTCACTGATTCAGTTGCGCAAAACGTTTGTATTTATTATTCACTTTTCACTTTGCTTATTTTGATTATTTTTCATTTCTATCATTGCTCTCTCTCAGAAATCTGCCACCTTCATTCAGCTCCTAACTTTATTCTCGAGTCTCTAAAATATCTAGGCACTGGGTTGATTTAATAACCCTGCCAGTACTGCATGGAAAAAAAGAGTGCTCACTTTCACCAATAATATGGTTATTAGTTTATAGAGAATTTAATCTGTATACTAAATTGAAAGTAGCTGAAGAGGCCCAAAATTATTAAGTTGTTATTGAGGTAAATCTTCAAGTTGACATGTGTGATCCTGTTGCACATATAGGTACAGTATGGGCTAGAAGTGTTTCTGAGACCACCTTCAAATTTGAGCATGTTTCTATACATGCATCCAAACTGTACTCCCAAAAATGCTAATGTATCAAGCATCCTCTGAATATCATGTTTGCGACTTTGATGGAATTCTTCTTGTTATAATTACATCAGAAAAAAAAGCGTGCATAACTTAGAAATACATTCTTGCACTCAAGTCAACTTTTTCCAGTACAGTTACCTATTGGAATAATATTCTTGCCAAGCAATTACATAAAAATGTCTCTTAAACTTGATGCAGTTGTTTCAAGGAAACATACTTTAAAAGTGGTTTAACAGATTATCCCCAGCCATGTTTACGTATTTAAGTAAATTGGGTCAGTTCCACCAATGGAATAACATCTATATGCAAATATAGACATTTCATATTGAAACTGGCGTTACATTAATGTCTGAGTTAGGTTAGGTAATAAAGAACTAAGAAAATAGAGAAGTCTTGTTTCTAAGGAGTGGAAGCATTAACTGAGGCATCCACTTATGCTCTGCAACACAATGGGATTAACTTTAATCCAACTGACCAGGTGGGAAACAAAAGCAGAAATTGCTGGAAAACCTCAGCAGGTCTGGCAGCAACTATGGAGACAAAACCAGGGTTAACATTCTGGGTTCAGTGACTTTTCTTCAGACTCAAAATGTTTTTTTTTCTAGCAATTTTTTTTTTGTTTCCAGCATCTGCATTTCTTTGTTTTTTTTAATCAGATGGGAAACTTCTGGGATACTGTTTTTAACACCTTGCACAATATTGTCCTTCATCAACTTAAATGGCATGAAAATTCATGCAGGATAGAAAATTAAGCTTTTGTCTCACTGTGGGGCCATCCTTGGCAATGTCTTATTATGGACAGAATCTCACAATAGGCAGCATCTCACCTTGGACAGTGACTTGCAGTGGGCAGTGTCTCACTATAGTCAGTGTCTTACCATGGATAATATCATACTATGAAAAATGCCTCATTATGGGCAATGGCTCACTGTGGACTATGGCTCCCTATAGGGAAAGCCTCATCATGGGCAAATGTCTTAATATGGAGAAAGACTTATGATGGGAAAGCCTTAGTGTGGACAATGTCTCACTGGGGTAATGTCTGACCATGGGTGCATTGTCATAGGCATTTTCTCACCATGGACAATACCTTATAGCGGTCAATCACTCAATGTGAAAAATCTCTCCCCACTGATGCTCTCATGCCAGGATGGGAAGTGTAGGGTAATTGGCTTACAGAGCATCAAGGTGTGATCATCTTTCTGGGCATCTTCCTATGTTTGGAGACAATGAGAATAGAAATTCCAGTCTAAGAACTTTGGTTTTGCAAAAATTAATACAAAAAGCAAGCTGTAGTGTCTGTGTAAGAGATGGCTAGCGTCAAGCAAGCGATTGCAGTGGCACGTGGACTTATAAGAGACCAGTTAGAGCTGAGGAAGAGCCTATCTAAGGCAGTCTGGGTGCAGAACTGCCACATGTGAAAAGACAGTAAGATTGGGAAAGTCGACTGGAGCTCCTAGAACCTGGAAGATAGTCGTTGATGAGATGGACGTATTAGATGAGCCAGTATGTAGATTAGCGAGGCCTGTTTTTTGGTTTGTGCAAATCTCATGTCAGAGATTTGTTTTATTACACTTCATCGCCGGTGCGGCCGTTTTTACACTTAGCGTATTATACTATTTAGATGAGATTTGACTATATGACAGCGAGATGGGTCAGCTCAGGTAAAATACTGGAGTAAACATTTACATAGTTAGTGGAGACATTGTTTTTTTTAAAAAAAAGCCAAAATCAGTAATAATTCATGAACTAGGTGCGTGAGAAATGCTTCACAGTAATACGCTACACGACTCATGAAGGCTCAAGCACAAAATATTTTCTGGTAACGTCCATTTGCCCGTAGTTTGAGACAAAGTCCATCAGATCATAGGACATACTTAATAAACACAGGACGAGCTTAATTTGAGGTACAATCCCCAGTAAAGATTACAGTTTCATTCTGCTCTGGTTCACATCCTGACACACTCACAGTCTTGCAGTTAAACTATGATAGATACTCTCCGATAATCGACCGTGTTATTTCAGACAGACTGATTAATGTTATAAACCCGAACATTACAGGGGCAATGCAAGAGTATCCATGGGGGATGTCAAAAAAAGGGGGGGGGGGCATTTAAATATGTAATTACGTCCACAAAGATCTTACTCACGTCAAGTGTTTCCTTCAGGTTAGACTACTAAAAAGTTAAACTGGTTCCAGGACACGACAACTCTTAGTGACACAGCACACAAGCTCCGAACGGCTACACTCACTAGAAGCGCGCACACACCGCACACGTTCTTTCCCTGCAGTCTGACATGTTGAAAACAATTTCTCAGAATAAGGTGGCAAATTGTTGCCGCAAAATCGCCCTCACCACAAACTGCACACACAGAGGCAGCCACAAATCACAAGGGAATTTCGAACAAAAGCTACGGAACACGCTCACCCGAGTAAACAGTACCTTAGAATTGTCGCCGCATTTAAAGTTGCAGTTTCCTCTTCCCCCCTCCCCCCTTAAATGTGCAGAGAGACACACCGGAGCGAACACTCCGCAGTCGCGTCGATCAGCAATAATCTTCCAAGCCCTGAGACTTATTGATTTGGCAAACACAAACTTCTCCCGGATCCGCGTCTTGTGTGGTACAGTTGAGAGCAGATTTGTTTTAAGAAAAGGAACGATCATATCAGTGCGGGGGCAAAGTATGGGACGTGTCTGGTGCAGTTTATTCACAGGAAATCAGCCTAGTGAAATATGCAAACACTTCCAGTTGTCGTTATTTGTTGAATGGAGGTGAACCGCAACAGGAAAGGGGGTGGCGATGCGGAGCTTTCAGTACAGCCATCCCGGAGACAAGGCGCACCTTCAGCGGGGCGGCAGGGAGAGAGACAGCGAGAGCAGCTATCAGTCTTCGGGACAGTCACTGGCAAAACCCGCACTGTTAAATCCCACAAACCGCCGGCCCCCAGTGATCTGAGCTCTCGAAATACATCGTGCCCTGCTTGAAACTGAAAGTAGCAAAGAAGAGCTGGCTGACTATTTTAGGTGTCGCAGAAGAGGATCGCATGATTTACACGGGAAATCATCTACTCTCAGCTGGAAACCAACAGGACTGACTGGAAAATTTTTTTAAAGCAAATGATAAAGACAAGATTGCTTTAGCACAGCGTAGTTTAGTTTGGAAATGAACGATTGCAAAGCGAATGAATTTCAGACCGCGATTCCATCCCCCCTCCCCCGGGTCCTCTACCCTCACAGACAGAAGGTAGAGTTCCAGACCCTGAACTTGAATAGTTCAGGAATACTTAACCTCAACACACAACCAGGGCTGTGATGCAGCCAACACCTACACACACGCACACACTAGCACGACTATTTGGTTATGTTACGATTTATTCATTTCTCTTCTTTTTGGCTATTTGTATTGAAAGCCCGAAAGATCCACTGAGTTTTTATTACGAGGGAGAAGCAGAAAGGAATAAACGGCAGCTCCGCGGTAAATAGCTGGACATTAATTTTCTTTGCATTCCGGTTTTGAAGTTCTTAAAACCTTCGATGTCATTGAACCCAAACATTGGCTTCTCCACTGATCTCACAAGCTTCAGTTCCGCTTTCCAGAATGTGAAAGTATTTTCCCCATCCACTTCCAGGGTGCTGAATCCCATTTCATTGCATGCTTATAAAGGAGTTTCTTTTCTCTTTCTGCCTCCAGTATTTCACAATGACTTCAAGTTCCCCTGTCCGGCAGTCTGGTCCATTAAGCACCTCGTAATGACTCAGGACCTTTACAATAGTGATATTATTTTAAATAGTTGATCCAGGAAGTACATTTGATAACGTGTGATTTATAGATCGAACCCTGTAACTGATGTAAGTTTTTACTACAACTACGATGTCCAGGTCAGTTAGCGATAACTGGATCTTGATAAAACAAACATTTTATTATCAGAAATACATGTATTGTGTCTTTAAGGACTGAGAGTTAGCAATGAACGGCGAAAACACAATCAAATTGGCTTTGTCATTTCCGTGTGATTTAGACAAATGTTACTCACTATTTCACGAATATGAACAACTTTAGGTCGAGTGGTTCCTGTTATCGAACCCAGCTCCTTTGTCTTAGTAAGAATAGTTTCTGGTTGAGAAGTCTTATTGGTTCAGGTTGATGAAATTGTATCAGTTTTACGATAACTGCAGTGAACTTTAATATTTATTGTTACAGAAATAAAACGATACATTGATGTACAACAGTTAATCTTCGACCCAGCTGCACCAAGTGAAAATTTATGCTATTATATGCCCCCCATGTGACAACGCAAGGATTAAAATTATATTTTGATGTGTAAACTTAGCCTATCAAAGAGTGTTTTCTGAAAATATTAGATATTTAGTCTGAGGATATGTATTGGGTTTAAGTGGCAATGCATACTTTAGACATACATTTGTTTTCCCTCAAGGTATCATTTACTTTGTGTGCTGTATTCTACTTTGGATACAGCATGTTTAAAACAAGAAATAATTGCAGATCTATTCAGCAAGGCGCCAGTCACACAACATTTTATTATTAACCAGGCGGATCCCAACCAGCTGTAGTTTTAAGTATTGTTTTAGAGTTCAGGTAACATTACCCGACTCAGAACAGTCAATACTCGTTTCGGGTAATATTAGGCGCATTCATCAAAGTGTACGGAACAGAAATAAAATGACCATTTGCTATTTAGAGGCTTGGTTCTTCCAACCCTACATATAGCTAAAGCTATATTTCTGCTGCTGTCCCAACAGTCACATTGATTTAAAATGTTACTGCCATTTTATGCTGAGGGCTAATCTTACATGGCTCGAATGTAATTTATTCGGTAATCATAAATTAAATTGACACAAGTGAATTTTTCACCAAAACTGTAGTCTTCATAGATTGTGGTTAGCCTCAGCAAGTCTGTCCACTTGGTGGCGCACTTCATAACTATCTGGCTATATTTTCCCCAAAAGATCAAGTTCAAAAACAACAAATTTGTCTCTTTAGGACCTCCACATTTTGCAGCGGTTGTTTCATTGACTATATTACAGTCACCCAGTATCCTTGTTTTAATGTTCTTCACTAAACGATATGAACTAACCACATTATTACTAAAATCAGGCGCAAGGTGAGTGAACTACATAAATATAATGAATTAGTACAAAGCAAGTGCCTTAATAAATAGGCTATAGCATTTTAGATTGGACTATCCTAGGTTAAAAAAAAGCTCTAAATTGACACCTTTACCAGTATTGGATTTAATTTTCAGACAGTTAATGAAATAGAATTTCATGTTTTTGTCAGTTGCATAATCAAAAGTTATCAGGCTGGCATTTTTTTGCATGATTTTCACCCAAGTAACAGGTTACTCAAATAAAATAGTGCAAAATATTCTGGTGTTGCAAATGTGAATTGCATCTGTAAATAAAAATTGGCCCTTGTGTTAGCAATTATTCCTGTCTGTTCAAAGACCCCTCATCTATTGTTTTTTTTAAATGGAGTGTATGAATGCAGTGTACCTTTAAGCACTTCTGATTGTGTCAGTTTATTTTCTTAAACAAAAGTGAAATTTAAACATATTCAAGGGCAATCTTTTTAGTTACTATAAACATTACACTTGATTATAGGCACTACCTTGGTGGGATCAAGTATTACTGAAGCAGTATAGTGGGACTTGCGAAAATTATGTGTTTTGCAAACTACATATTACACATATGTAATGGTTTCAGAACAAAATTGGGGCCTCACCAGACATTTATTGCAATAATTACTTCCATGACTTCTGGATACCCAAAAGCACTTTAGACCAATGAATTACTATGGGAAAATAGTAACTGTTGTAATTTAGGAAACCATGTGCCACAGTAAGGTGCCACAAAAGAAAGTATCATAAATGGTCACATCATTTGTTTTTGTTGCTGCGTGAGGAATAAATGCTGGCCAGCATACTAGGATAACTCCCCTGATCTTCTTCCACCCAATATGATCCAAAATCAAAGATTAGATACCAACCTTTTACCAAACGATAAACATTTTGTGTTTCCCTAGAGTAAACACTTTTAAACTGCTAAAAGTGAGTGATTAGAATTTGTTACTATGTCTATTGTTTTCTGTATTTTTCTAACACTATTTTTAAGAATAAGGATCGCATTACCTCTCTAAATGCTGCCCATAAATTCAACTCTCATTTTTTAAGTCCCAGACTGAATAAAGAAGTGATCTCTTATTTTGTAGTTTTCCATTCTATTTATTACAGGTGTTATCAAAATAAATCATCTCATCATTTTATAGGATAAAAATCTACATTGTAAAAGCTGTAATAAAAGTATCATTTTGAAATCATTTTGTATGTCCTATCTTAATTTTCTTGTCTTTATTAATATTCTATCAATAAATCACCACATTTATTGACTTGCTATTGTCCTTTTCTTTGTGCACTCACTTTTCTCCTGCCCCATATTTTCCCACTTTTCTACCAGTTTTACTCTAAGAGTAGAATAATTAAGGGTAACCCAACTGGATTTCTCTCAATTTCTTCTTCCCTTTGATACTGTCTGAAATCCACTCAGTGCTTGCTTGTTGTGCTTGAAATAAAAAAAAGAGTATTATACAATCAATAAATATTAATTCAAATAAACTATTTAAACTGCAATCTTTTCTTTATTCATTGATGCAATTAAAGGAAAAGCTCTGTTGGAGATATCTAGTTCCTCAGAATAAGATGAACTATAAGAATGCGCTGTTTTTCCATGAATAACCTTTGTTTTGTTTTAAATCATACCGTATGAGTGCTAGAAACTATTTCTTTGAAGGTTATTATGTGACCTGCTGTTTTATTGTGTGTGACTGCTTTTTAGATCATTTTATCACAAGAACGTTTCCTGTGAATCTTAACAAAGAAAGATGCATACTCATTGTACTATTATTTAGCAAACTATTGTTTTCAATTCAACTTCAGAAGGCCAGACTGATTTGCAATATTTTAATCAATTTCATGAAGCAACTTAGAACACATATTGGCCTGGGTTTTACAGTTAATAGCAGAACAGTGGTGCCCATCATTAACCCAGAAGAAAGCTACCAAAACAATCTAGTGATTTCTGTAGTGCAGAGTTCCCTTATCATCATGGCAGTTTTAATCTGGTGCTATGTAAAGAGATCTTTGTGTTCAGTAGTACTGATGTTAGCAACCACAGAATGTGGGCACCACTGATTAGGCCAGAATTCATTGTAAATCCCTGTGAAGATGGTGGTGAGCTGCCTTCTTGAATTACTGTAGGTACACCCACAGCATATTTGACCTGGCAACAGTGAAAGAACAAAACCATAGTTCCAAGTCAGGATACTCTGTTACTTTAAAAGGAATGTTCCCATGCATCTGCTGTTCCTGTTCTGACATGGTAGAGGTCACAGACTTGGAAGATGCTGTCAGTAGACCCTAGCTGAGCTGCTGCATCTCGATATAGCTTGCAGCTTGGGTGTGGTGTGAAAAGTTGTTTGGATTAATATTTAAGCTACAATAAACAATAGCATGTATTAATAAAGCACTTTTAAATGAATTAAGATACCACAAGGCTCTTGACAGGAAGAGTACAAGGCAAGATTTGACAC